TATTCATAGTCATAGGGCATTTCCCTATTACGTAAAATAAACATCATAGAACCTCGCTCGGTTATATTACTATATCATGCTAGAGCCATGCTCTTAATCTCCCTACATTGTGCTAGAGCCTTGCTCCTAGTCTCCCTACATCATATTAGAGCCCCGCTCCTAATTTGTCTACATTGGCTAGAGCCCCGCTCTTAGTCCATTTACACTATACTAGAGCCCCGCTCTTAGTTAATTTACATTGGCTAGAGCCCCGCTCTTAGTCCATCTACATTTTTCTAGAGCCCCGCTCTTAGTTGACTTACATCGGCTAGAGCCCCGCTCTTAGTCCATCTACATTGTGCTAGAGCCCCGCTCTTAGTTACCATTTCAACATGCTAGAGCCCCGCTCTTAGTCACGTTAATCAACCCCTAAGCAATTCCTATGCCTAGAATCGGTTTAGATTGAGTAGCCTTTGGGGCCTACTCCTATTATACCTAGAACTTTCACATCTCGACCTTAAAGTATCTCTTAGGACTACTCAAGGTATAATTTCTCACAACCCAATTCATTGGGTTAATCTATTGTTTCTCATATTAACATCTCGGCTAGTATTTCAATACTAGTTGAATAAATTTAGAACAACCAAGTTCTCAATCCATAGACACACCGTGTATTTCAATTTATCTTCCAATTCAAATATAATCACTTCCCAATATAAAAATATCACTTTTACCCGTTCATGAATTCTTACATGAAACAAGGTATATTTTATCACCATATTCATAGTTCACTCAACTATCATGCCATCATACTTATAATCACATATCCATACTCAATTCATTCGCAATTTGCATATTATACCTCAATTACTCATAAGGAATGGTATTCCCATTTAGGCATTATTAATCATTAACAATCCATGAAAATCACATTTAGATACTTTAGGTAATCTTACGAAATTGACCCAAAAATTATAAGCAATATAGTCAGCCATCCTCACCTCAAATGAGCTTTAAATCTTTCCTTCTCGATCCAATGACCAAAGCCTCGGCCAAGAAAGATTGAGGACTGATTCCTTGCTTGGAATTGAGTGTTAAACAGCCTCTTCAAAGTGCTAGTTCAACTCCTAACCGAAGACACAAAAACAGTCCCTAGAACGGGTGTTTCCCGACGAAATCGTTCCCTAACCTTTCAAGGTTTTGTCTAGATTAGTATCTAACTTTTCCAACAATTAAAGTCACTTTATAATAACATTTTATACACTTCAATCAGTGTATAATAGTTCTTCAATCATTTATATGGTTTAGACAATAGAGAGGAAGGTTTTGGATTCAAACTTACTTTGAATACAAAAACGTATTCCGCGAGGTTGTGTTTTGCTCGGACGATTTGAAAGCCTTCCACTACTCCGATTGATGCAAACCAGACCTTCACGGATTCCTCGTCTTGAGAGCTTTCTGTGGGTATCTCGCACGCCTTATTTGGATGTGTATAACTCGAGATATGAAGCAAACAAGTAACCTTACGCACTGGAAAACGAACCTGCGGCAGCTTCCCCTTCCTCTTGCTTTCTTGGTTGTGTGGCTCTCTCTTTCTCCCTTATCCTTGGGAGTTCGAATGAGGGGCTTAAGGGAGTGTCCAAGACCCTTCAATAAGGGTGGATAAGTTGTGTGGAGTGAAATGAATTGGTATGGTCTCCATGAGATGTTTTTAGACATGGGTGGGTCTCACTTTTGATCTCTTTGTCATAAGATGTTTCTTTGTACTCATTCTAATTTATTTGGAACAAGTCAACTCTCTACATCATATTATTGATCTCCAATATGTGTATGATCATCCCAATAATTTTCATGATGAATATTATAGAAGAAAAACCCTACTCCCATTATTTAGCTCAATAATGCCAAAGATGGGGTTATAGGCATTTGTATTCTTCTCAAATCATCCTATCACTTATTTTGACATTTGCCATTCATATTATTAGGCTACAAGCCGTGTGGGTCACCCCCGAGTGGGCCTACGACGCCATTCTCGAATACTTGCTATTCTAGCGGGTTGAGCCCAAAATAATATCTGGGCCGCCCGCCCTTCCTCAACTTGTCTTGAAACGTTATGTATTAATATTTAGATAATGTTAGGCTCTTTTATTTATTAATAAGGCCCGATACTTATATACGAGTTCGAACAGTACAATAATCGATCATTAATTACGTAAAACATTAATCGTTTTACAATCGTTTGGGAATCAGAAATCCAATACATAAACTTTGAATTTTAAAATCAAGTTTTCAAGGACGTTCGGGTGTGGTGTCACACCCAAGGCCCCCTTCTCCCATACAATTTAGGTACCAAGTACCAAGTGTATGGGTCACCCCCATCACTCTTTGAAAACACCAAGTGTTTTCTCACTAAGCCGTACCCCACGAGGACGCAACCATGCATACATTATGCATACTTTTACATACTCTCCTGAAAAAAAAAAAAAAAAAAAAAAAAAAAAAAAAAAAAAATCCGGGGGGTGCAACACCCCTCGGCTCCGGCTGGTACCAAGTGCCCCCGGCTATTTGTGTTTCTACACACAAATAAAACCCTTCCCAGGAACGCTTTCCGCGCCATCCCCCAAGGGGAGGCAGGCAACGGACCATGTCCCGGGCCCAGGATTCGACTTCCACAAACGAAACGCTCCCCGCGCTATCCCCCAAGGGGAAGCAGGCAACAGACCATGTCTCGGGCTGAGGGGACGACTTTCAAAACCGAGGCGCTTTCCGTGCTATCTCCCAAGGGGAAGCAGGCAACAGACGATGTCTCGGGCCGAGGAAACGACCCTCAAACCCTTCGGGATATCGGAAGGTCATTCCCGAAGGGGGAGCCAACGGTTTGTTCCGTTGCCTCCCATATAGGCCAAGCCTTCCCTAGAAACCAAGTTTCTAGACGCCTCTCCTACACCATCTAAAAAAAAAAAAAAAAAAAAAAAAAAAAAAAAAAAGAAGATGTGTAGGGGGGAAGGAACTCCCCGGATACTATTCTCCCCGGAAGCTCAACACTTCGGATATACATTCCCGAAGGCTCCTACAAATTCACAAGAAAATCTGGCAAACAACAAGTCATCTGGCCACAAAGCCGAAGGCTTCACGGCGTGAAACTTTGGAGTACGAGAATTCCACCGAAGGCATAAGAAGAGGGCTTACTATCAAAGCTTCACCTAAATTTGGCTAGGTCCTAAATCTGGCTCGAATCGAAGACACCATGTTACATACCGAAGGCTACACAAAGTTATAAGGCAAGCTAAATCTATTAACAACACGAACCGGAGGGTTCATGCCAGGGGAAGAAGGGTCACCAAGCTTATTCAAACGATCTCAACAAATCTCAGAATTTCACTGAGTCCATAATCTTGGACCCCTCGGCAACTGTACGCACCGGGGGCCCAAGCGACTCTTACGCCCGAAGGTCCACTACAACACCTATTGAAATTTTGTGGAAAAACGACTAAGTCCACAAATGTGGACCCTTCAGGAAGGTAATTCTTCACCTACAGACTCATGACCGATGGCCCCCTAATCTACTTGGCAATGACCTAAAAACTACACTACAGTCGAAGGCTCGCCACTATCGAGGGCGTAGTCACCGAGGACATGATCTAAGTTCTTACTCAGAAAATTTTCTGAGTCCACAACAACAACCCCGGCTATTCTACTCTACACCCGGAGAGTCCTAATCAAATTTTACTTGGAAAACCTTCTAAGTCCACAAGCAACGACCCCCCGGTAGTCCTACTTTACAGCCGAAGGGTCCTGGTCTGGTCTCACTTAGAAAATTTTCTAAGTCCACAAACTTTTGGCCTTCGGGAAACCAGGCCAGGGAAAGGAGAACATACATTCATTCATACACAAACACAAAGAAGAACAGGGGCATACATTCAAGTTCAAGATGAAGGAAACATTCATTCACAAAGGCCCGGAGGCACAATCATTCATCAACAAGAACATTTTAAAGTGCAAAAGATGTTTGTTTACAAGGCATGGCCGAAGCCGAAAACCTATGAACTATTACAGGAGTTTATACTTGAGGAAATTCTAAGTTCATGCATCCTTGGCGGCATCTTCCTTCGGCCTCGAGGTCGCATCGTCTTCGGCTCCTTCATCATCGCCCTCGCCCATCAGCTCAGAATCTTCTAGATCTGGCCTCTCTACGCCCTCGGGGAGTGGAGCTCTTACGTCCGGTTGCAGGGGGGAAGACCATAGATTGCAGGGTCAAAGTCCTTCGGCTCAGTTTTGAAGTGCCTGGCTAGCCTCCTGTATATGAGGTTTTGAGTAAAGAACTCGCCGCCATCATAATAATCTTTGCCCTTCTGGGCTAGCCACATGGCACCCGGACCCTTCGTCCATTCGTCCACCGAGGCCTCCACCACTGACTCCACCCATGCCCTTCGATCTTCCGCCTTCCACCCATCAGCAACGAAGGCATCGACGGCATTCTTCTCAGCCTCGGCAACAGCTTCCTTCTTGGCTGCCTCGGCCTCCTCGGCGGCAACCTTGGCGGCTTCGGCAGCGGCCCTCTCTGCGTCAGCCTTCCCCTCGGCTCTGGCAATCACTTTATTATTTTCGAGGATGCCGTTGAATGCCATCTTCTCCAGCCGGAGGGTCTCTTGGGCCTCCTGGAGTTGCCGCCGGGATTCCACCAGCGCCTCGTCGGCCTGCAGCTTCTGCGCCTGGTAGCTCTCCATCCTCTGGAGCAATTCTCCGAGACCGAGGGCAGCCTGAGAATCAAAACCATCAAATAGCAAGGGTTAAGTTATCAAGATAAAGATATGTCAAAGGCAACTCAGAGAAAAAGGAGAAGGAAAAGACTTACGGTGACGGAGGCCTGAAGCACTTTTGCGCTGAGGGCGTCATCCTTGGCCCTCGACAGCACCGACTTGTCAGTCGGGGGCGTGGCACCCTTTAGGAACTCCCTCGGGTTGAGGGTGCCATGCATGATGGCAGTTCCCTTGGTGATAGAGAACTGCACATCATCCCGGGGCCAGGCCAGGCTGTTATCTTGGCCCCCGGGGGGAGGGAGGACATTTCCCGAAGGGGAGGAGGAAGAGTGCTCTTCGACAATGACGAGGGGGGCGTCCTTCTTCTCAGGGCCCCCCTTCTTTTTCTTCTTCTCCGGAGGCATCACGCCCTTCCCGGCATTTTTTCTCTTGGGCTCCGCCTGAACTCCCCCGGCGCCGGCACCAGCACCAACAGCTTTTGAGGGTCCCTCTCCCCCGGGAACCTGAGTGGTCCCATCCTTCCTGAAGAACTCGTTGACGGGTTTCTGCTTACCCGCCTCCTTCCTCTTAGGCTCTTTGGCCAGCTTTTTCTTGAGGGCTGCGAAGTTGGAGACATCCATGCTTACACCTGCAAAACAACAACAGAGTCAGACCAGAGGGGTCGACTACAAAGGAAAGAAAATAAGGAAACTACAAAACCCTAAGTACAAAAACGGGACCCTCCGGTAACTACCTCCAATGCTACCGAGGGCTCTCTCGAGGACGGGGTACTGTTCGTCTTTTTCACCCAGAGAGCGATAACGCCGAAAGCCTAAGGCCAGCAAATCTTCCGGGAGAGTAGAGTCCTTGACTGACACGTGCTTTGTGGCCCCCGGCAGCAAAGCAGCAATCTTCTTCCCCTCCTTCTGAAGAGCGGCACTTCCCACCTTCGGATGCCGCCGGAAGTGGTTGCGCAGTTCCCCCGGAAACGGGTTTTCTGCCATCTTGATATAACAGAACCGGTCCCTCCACCCCTTGTGAGACGAAGGCACATCATCAAAAAGCCTCCAAGGGGCAAGCTGCTGCAGGTTTGCAAACCCCTCGGAGTTGGTATGTCCCCCCCGGCACAAGTTGAAGCTTTGAAAAAATAGATCAAGGGTCGCGGTTACCCCGCGGGCCCGGCAAAGCTGAAGGAAACCTGTAATGTACGAGTGGCTGTTTGGGGTGAGCTGACAAGGGGCTAAACCCACGTATCTCAGATATTCGAGAAGGAAAGGGTGCAGCGGGAACCGGAGGCCCATGGATACCGACAGCACATGGACGGCGAAACATCCTTCGGGAGCCTGGGAGAGGAGATCGTTGGGCCCCGCTTCAATCACCTCCGCCGAGGGGCCCACATGCAGCTGAGTAACGTAGCACTCTGCCCGGTCAGCCCTCGACCTAAGCGCGAGGGCGGCTGTATTCAGCCAAGAGTGTCCCTCGGGGATCCCCACGGGCTTCCCACAATCTGCGGCAGGTTGCTTCTTCTTCTGAGAAGCCTTCGCCTTCTTCCTCTTATTCCCCACGGCAACGCTGAGGGGTTCTGGATCTAGTGGCCGGGAGGTGCTCGCCTCGCCGGCACCACGGAGCGGGAGGACAGCAATTGTGACCTCTTGTCTCTCCTTCTCTTCTTCTTCCTCAGCTACTTGAAGGGCGAGGGCCATTTCTTCATCTTCGACAACCTGCTCGAACTCCTCCGCCTCCAGCTCGGTGCGAAGGTTATTTTGAACTTCCTCGGCAACCGCTGAATCGTTGTTCGCCGAGGATTGCGCACTCGAGGACTCCACGTCCGAGTAGCTTCCCTGTTGTGCCGACGGCTCCCCCGAGATATCTTGGGAATCGCTTTGCGAAGACATGATTCTGAAGGGAGAGTAGGAGAAGTATGGCTGAGGGGGACTACCTAAATGTTCCTACCGAAGGCTCCTAAGACCTCTAACACAAGATCTAAGGGAGAAAAGCGAAGTATGCTAGTAAAGCGAAGAACGAGTGAAGAACTGACCTCGAAACTTGGGGTTTGATCGAACAGGGCTTTCTCTCTCTAGAAAACAAAAGGGCAGAGCTTCGCTATCACAAATATCGCACAAGGAATATGAGTTCGGGCTTGGGGTATTTATAGGCTCCCAGCCTGGGAATCTGGGCTTCAATTTAAAAAGGCCATCATTACGGGCCGCCGGTTCAACCAATGGATGGCACCCGCCCACCTTCAACCAACGGGAGCATGCCACGTGTTCCCCTCTCCCAACGGCTATATTACAACGACTATATTTCGGCGACACTGGGATGCCCCCGGATGATAGCCTCCGGTTACTCACTCACCGCAGCCTTCAGGCAACGAATTCCACCAAACGCCTTCGAGCCCATAGCGGCATAAGCCTTTGGCTTATCAGTGTTATAAACCCTCGGGGGCTCATCAACTCATCATAACTCCTTCAGCCCGAGCTCACCTTCGGCCTAAAGGAGTGGGGGACTGGGATACACCCCTCGGGGATCATACACAACAAAAATTTCTTCATACAAAAATTCACAAGTAACGCATACAGCACCCGGGCAAAGGTAGAACCCCTCGGGCACGTGACCCGGTGCACCCTTCGGCAATAACGAAATAAAATATCAAAAGTTTCCCTCAGAAAACCCTCGACATGTGAGGGACTGAGGAGAGGCTCCGGCATTCATACAAGTATTATACTTCCTTCAGAAAACCCTCGACATGTGAGGGACTGAGGGAAGTCTTCGGCTAACAGCGGAAGGCAAATTCCCAAGCGGGGGCGCCCAACAAAGTGATGAAGCCTCCGGAGGAATCAACACAACTACTCCTTTTTCCTCAAGTACCTTTCGGCAAAAGGAGTGAGGGACTCCTGATGGAGTATATGGCCCAAGAACCCCCGGCCCATAGACTCCTACTTCTCCTACACAAGTTCAAGGAGCCCAGGGAACGACTCAGGCCCAATATGCAGCGGCCCAAGCCTCAACGTGGCCCAGGATACGCACTGGGGTGCCTTCGGCCTCCTTGGCCGGAGGCTCCAGAACTCACAGAATAGCCTTTTCGGCGTAGGAAGCTACTGGGAGAAACAGGCGAAGACATGAGCGTTCGGCATTCCCATGCCCTCGGCACCAGGCGAAGACCAAGCCTTCGGCTACACAAGGAGCCCTCGGCTGCACAAGGGGCCCTCGGCTGCACAAGGGGCCCTCGGCTGCACAAGGAGCCCTCGGCTGCACAGAGAGCCTTCGGCTGAACAGGCTCAATCATCGAAGATTCCTTTTAGAGACAGCCAACCACCGCATTTAATGCCATGTCACATCCGCCAACCGCATTCAATGCGGTTGACGTACCACTGCCGGTGCCACCAGGCTGATGTGACCCTTCGGCCGTTGGATTGCTGACACGTGTACTCTCATCGCATTTATTGCTGCTATAAATAGCAGCCCATTTCTCCTTGTAATAGACACGATCTACATCTCAACTCCACGCTGAGTTCATTTAATAAAATCGACTCTCTCTCCTCCTATTTTGCTCTGACTTCTCTCTAGTTGTTCCCGCAATAACCCTTCGGATAAGATACCCCCCGGGTAGACTATTCATCAGTCACCTTAATAAAAACCAAAAAAAGCTGATAAACATTAATGGGAGGAGGTTAGAGTTAGAATTAGAATATCTTCAACGGGACGTTTAAGTAAATAACACGTCAGCGCTAATCTTCGTGATTATGAAAAGAAAAAGAAAAAGAAAAACGGGCGTTTTCGTCCATACAGCGGCCTCCAATTTGCGTGATACGCGTCCGTAAAGAGGCCATTATTCTATCGCCATAGCCGACCTCTCTCCTCCCTTAAATCTCCCATCGCCCCCCCAAACCCATACTCCTGCCTCAACCCCCTCCCGATCTCTCTCTAATTCCATTTCCTCTCTCTACACCCTTGAATTTGCCGATCAATTTCTGTTCTTGTGGCCGGGAAAATGGCACAGAAGACGGAGAAAGAGGAGACGGAGTTCAAGGTCGTGCCGGAGACCATCACGCCGTGCGCGAACAACTGCGGCGTCACCGGCAATCCTGCCACCAACAACATGTGCCAAAAGTGCTTCGCCGCAACCGCCCTCTCCACGTCCAGCTCCGTCTCGGGCTCCTCGGTGGCGATTCCGCTCAAGTTCGCCGAGAAGCCCCCCAGATCTACCTTCCGGCGGTCGTCCCCTGCGAGGTTGGTCCCAGATCTGAACAAACAGGCCCCGCCGGAGAAGACCGATGAGAGAGGCGACGACGTCTCAGCATCTCCTGCCAGGAGAGAGGTTAATCGTTGCTCCGGCTGCCGGAGGAAGGTCGGTTTGACCGGGTTCCGCTGCCGGTGCGGAGAGCTGTTCTGCGGGGAGCACCGGTACTCCGACCGACACGATTGCAGTTACGACTACAAAGCCGCCGGCCGAGATGCCATCGCGAAGGAGAATCCTGTGGTTAGAGCTGCGAAAATCTTCAAACTTTGAAGGATCCACGTTTGTACTGGAAATGAAATCGGATTCGGGAGGCAACTAGAGATCGGACGGAGATCTCATCGATCTCTGCGTCCCTCTGCAGCTCTAGCGTGATAGATGATGATTCCCACAAAAGTGATCGAGGAAATTCGTAATTAATTGTATGTGATCATAAAAATCTCGCTTTCCCGAAGGTTTATGCATGGATAATTAATCTTGTTTCAGAATTCACTTGATTTTTTTACATTTCCCGGTTGAATGATAGTTTAAGAATTAATTATTGCACCACGAATTCGAATTAATTTTAATAGCAATGATTCTGGTGAAGAACGGATTTCTATATATTCGCTGGATTTAGATTTGCTCCTTGAAATGATATTATTCAGACATAAAGATCTGAATTTGTCATTTCTGCAAAGCTCTTTCTTTTGGTTGGTTCCTGATGATGATAAGCACAAGCTAAGAAAGACGGGAACGGGTGATGGCGACAGGTTGGGGTGAATTAGGTGGGGCGTTTGGGGCAACCTTGTCATGGCCAGTTCATGGGGCCCATGTCATGGAAATTGATATTTAAACCCAGGTTTTTTATGGTAGGTACGGTACCTTATTTTTCAAATGGGTAGGAACATAGCGGACTAAATAGGGTTCAATTGTGAACGTACTTCGTTTCATTTTTTCCTCGGAAAATACCATCTTTTTGTATCAAGATTACGTAAAGTAACGAACTTAGGGACTAAAAATGAAAGTTACTCAAAAGATATTATACGGACATATGATTAGTCAAAGTAACTTTCATATTTAATTAGAGGATACGCGTTAGGTTTGTCCCTTTTTTAATTACTGATTAAAGTAACGTAGCAGCTTGCATCTTTGTTAGCGTGACACCGTACGGTTTCGTTCCTACTTATTTGAGTCTTCAACTGCATCATTAAAAAAGGATGACACCTCATCCCTGAGGGCCCCCCAACACCGATCAGATGGCACGATGAGAGGATGTAAATTGGATTATAATCACAATCTGACAGATAGAGAGTGGAGCTCTGTCCCGGTACTTGCAGAAGTCCTATGCATTTTTCAGCATAGTAACCCCTCATCGCAGTTGCCGGGATTCGAACCCGAGACCTAACCCTTGTGGCACTCCCTCGCTACCAGTTGAGCTACGCCCACCGGTTACTGTATCATTGTACATACGAGATGAGTATAAGAGTTAGACTTGGGTACACACTTTTTACTCACTTTGTTTTGGCTGAGATTTTGTAGTATAGTTTGATCCCTACTAAATAGGGATGCCAATTGTGATCAATTCGATCGATAGATGCCTACATCAATCGTTCCGCCAAAATTGGAAAAACTCTATTGATCAGGTAATGGATGCAGGCGGTGAATAATTGTTTTATTTTTATTAGTATATAGGCATTTACGGTTTTATACATCTCAAAATTGGAAAAAAGAAAGAAGTTCCCGATTGACCCTCACACATTTTTATGCAAAAGTTAAAGTGTTGTCGATTTTCCTTAAATGCCCTCCCCTCCGCACGTGCTGCCGAAATTGGAAAAAAATTGAAGGGAAAAAAAGATGTTGCATTCCAGTAAAAACAATACAATACTCCATCCCAAACATAAAATCTTCTCATTTCAAAAGTAGGTAGATTAAGAATAGTGAAAGAGAATATAAATTATTGATGGTATGATGAAAAGATAGTGGAATAGTGTGATGGAATGAAAGATAATCCTAAAGAAGTAGTTGTAATAGTGTATTACTTTTAAAACTATTGAGGATATAATGGGAAGTTTTTTCGTTACAAAAGAAAAAGGAAAGTGAGAATATTTTTTAGTTAAGGAGGGAGCTAAGTATGAGGGTAAAAAACTTTACAAAGGACATTGAGTTGATGGTTCTACAGTGCTCCTACAGATCATATGCTTACAAAACCAAAAATCCCTCCAAAAATTTGGAGGGTTAATGCTACAAAGTGCAACACTACAAGAAAAGTCAAATTCCCCCCATTTTTTACACTTAAATGCCTACAACTACCTCATCTAACACTATTTACTACTCATTGATATATCTTTGGCTTTCTCTCTACAAATTCAACCTCCTGCACCTTCCTCCCACTGACCACTGCGCTTGCTACTCTTGTTGTAGTATCATAACGAATGAAGGTAGTCAATCTAGAACAAGTAAGTGACCTAAACTAACTAATGCACATAAAGCACTTTGGTCGAAACACTTTTAGCACATTACTATAATGGGAAACTTTAGAGGGCAGTATGGGAAAAATAGCAACACAGTATAACTGTTCTAAGTGTACATTTACCAAATTGTGGGCCTAAGCACATAGTCAGCTCAATGATAGGATGCCAATTAATTTGCAGATCCAATGTAAACGAAATGTGGGAAGAGAGAGAGTTGTTTCTACTTAGAAAAGTTTAAAGAAATTGCATTACATCAAAGAAAGAACATTCAAACTTTGAGTTATACCCTAGACATGTCAAAGTCTTCTGTACACAGATTAGTCAAAAGTAAGCAAATAAAGAGACATTGGAATTTCATAAAGTCACTCCTCACACATTCTGGAAAATTCAATAGGTTAAAGTTATGACTATCTCATATACCCTTAAACTCCACATTTCATCATTTTTTATCATGTTGACATAGATGAAAAGTGTTTTTCTTTATCAAAAGAAACCACAACATACTACACTTATCCCAGTGAGGCAGACCCCTACCGATCTGCTCAATATAAAAAATCTATACCCAAGGTCTAGGTTTGGAACAATGGAGGAGAGTTATGGGATGGAAAGATTGATATCTTTCCATTCAGGTATGAGAAAAGGGCAAAGAGTGCTAGTAAAAATAGCCCAACAAGCAATTTAGAGACAAAAGCCACGTTAATTGTAACAAAACATGTTATCAAGGACATGATGCTACACAAAGTGTAACCAGCAATCAAAGCTACATGGTCAGATGTAGAAAACAAGAACATCATAATTCAACAAGATTTTGCAAAGTCACACAATGATGTGAATTGTGCAGAATTTGTGGAGTCAACAACTGCTGATGGCTGGAACATAAAGCTCACTTTCTAGTCACCTAATCGCCCAGAATTTAATGTTGTACACTAAGATTGTTTTTTGTGCAATAGATTCACTCAAGGAACAAAAATCCCCTAAAACAAATCCCCTAAAACAATTCTTGAGTTAACTGAAGCCGTGAGAAATGCTTTTGATGAAACAAATACTAATGCACATAAGTGGAAATTAGTTAAACTAAAACATGTTGGTAAGGACAAGCTTGACAGACAGAGAATTTTTCATTTACCCCAGTGCCGCAAAGGCTCCCACCTATAGTGGGGTAAGGGGGGGTCGGATGTACGCAGTCTTACCCCTATAATAAAGCACAGAGAGACTGTTTCCGGATGACCCGTAGTGAAAATCGCGTCCAAAATTGCATGGACTGATTGCTGCTTCATAAAAAAGAAGCGCAAACAGTTTAATGATCCATTTTGCTTTATTCCATCATATTCTCAAGCCCAAAAATAATGAATATTTGGCTCCATTACAAATGATGGAAAATTGACAGGGAATGTTACTCCAAAATATGGACATCATCCAGAATTGTTGGTAAGGCTACACTCATACACATAAGCACAAGTTTTGTATGCACAATATAAAGGCAAAACTTTTTTTGTATCTAGGGGAAGTGTACTATTTTTTCCTATGTACACTAGTAAAGGCAAAACTTTTTTGTATGCAGGGGCAGTGTAATATATTTTGTATGTACACTAATAAGCCATAGATGCCAAGCCTACAATGTCTAAATGTAAGAGCAATGTAGTATCTTTTGTTCAAGTTTTGGTATGCTATAAAGTCAAAGGTAACAATCTAATTCACACATATACACATACATTGGCAAGCACACTAGGCCCATCATATGTTTACCCACTCGATAACCACACAATCCCCATCATCATCAGTACAAACTATAACTAACGAGTGTACTATTAACACTAAAAACCTGAATTTATGTAATTACAATTGTCAAATGCAACATAGTTTACTCTTTACTCCACCTCACACAAATTGACGTACTTAATTAGCGCTTACCTCCTCCTTAATCTATATCAACTTTTAGCTAAAAACATTTTACAAAAATTTGAAGATTGGATTGCCTAGAGTTTTTTGAGCTCAATTTTTTCATAAGCAGTTCTGAGTGTTAAAGTTAAAATATCATCATCATCATTTTATACATATTTCCGTTATTCTTCAAGAAAAGACTTGTAGCAATACCAAATTAAACTCCAAGTTTATTGCATGTAAATGTTTAACTTTTTAAATCAACATGTAAAACATTTCAACTCACAAAAAAACTCTTGATTCAATTTTTACATTAAAAAAATAAATTCGTGTTTTACAATTTGATTTAAAAAGTTAAACATTTAATGCAATAAAAACTTGGAGTTTATTTATTTTTATTGTTTCAAGTCTTTTCTTGAAAGATAACTGAAATGTATATAAAATAATGATGAAATTTTAATTTTAACATTTGGATATCCTCAAAAAAAATTAACACTCGGATTTGTTTATGAAAAAAATTGAACTTCAAATACTCTATGCAATCAAAATTTTCAGATTTTTGTGAAATTTGGCTAAAAGTTGATGTAGATTAAAAAGTGTAAGAATTTAATCAAAAACTATGTTGGTTGAATGTACTGACGATTTTAGAAAGGAAAAACTAAATTGATAGAGTGAATACAGAATTTTGTTTGAATGGTTGAGAATTAGGTTTATCACTTTATTGATGGTGGATAGTTGTAATTAGTTTTTCACCCCCACATGGTCTTTAGAAGTTTTTCAAATTTTACATATTGAATATTGATGTCTTCACAAAAAGTTATACAATTTGATATATATATATTTTTTAAAAAATGGAACGAAAATAGAAAAGTTATAGCAATTTAAAGAAAATTGAGAATTAATTTTACATGGGCTCCACCACCTCTCTTCTCATAGGTGTTGTCTCCCAGCTAGCTTGTACGACGTTCTTATTTTTTTTAGGAGAGTCGTCCATTCATTTAGTAAATAGTTTTAATTGGACTTAATTTCGTAAATACTTTTTTATTTATTGTTGAGTTTTTACGTAAATATAATCAATAATGTGTTGATTTACAAAAAAGTGACTGTAACTACCAATGACGTAGGTAGTCTGGAGTAATTGTAGGGAAATCACTCTGTTATTTTAAGTAGTAGTCATATTTTTGTTGGAGAGATTTAAAGTAGTAATATTTGTGTAACTTTTTTCTTTATTGTTCGAGAAAACTCAATAATTTATAA